TAGATGGGAGAATACTTGCTATGTTCGTGGTACATTTGACTGTGGTCAGTTAATACGTTACAACAATTGTGTATTCGGGGGTGTTAATTATAAACCCGATGTCTTAGATAATATTAAGGAATTTGTTAACTATGCTGATTACTGGCACTATGATTACTGTCAAAATAATGTAAACGGTTGGAGTATAAATTCAGGAGATTGCGTCGATGAATCGACTATCCGATGTTCTGCATTTCCAGATGGTTGCAACTCTTACAGTTGTGCCCCTCCACCAGATTCCGGAAAAGTTGAAGGCGATTGTAATAAATACTGTTCCTAGTTTTTGGGCTAGCTCTTTTTTCGGATAAATTGCTTTCATCTTGATAACGGGAGATACTAAGGCAGAGATGGTATTTAACTTTATCCGACTCTGTGAAAATTTTTGGTTATTTTTTCGATTTTCGCTATAATTTAAATTATTATATAATAAAAAAAAATTAATAAATTATTATTTTTAAATTCTTTTATTAATGATTAATTTTTTTTTCTTCATCGTCACGATCTTTCCTTTTTAAATATTGATAATTTTCATGGGACCGTTAAGTTGGGACCCGGTTCTAAATTTCAAAAATAAAGATTCTGAATTCCCGAACCTAAAAAAAAAGTTCGCGTCATAAATAATTAGCTTTGTGACCGAATTATATTAGCGATATTCATTCTACCACAACCTACCATCTAAACATAAATTTAAAGAACAGGCTGGGAAGGTTGACGAAACTCGAAAGGAAATAAAATATATGTTTTTTTGTTAAGAGAAAAAGCTAACATTTCGATTCTAATCAACGACGTAAACAATGAAATATATAAATATTAGACAAGGCATCTTTTTAATACGTGCCGCATAGTTGTTTTGAGGCAAAAAAAAATCGCGTAATAAGTGTTGATGTTTATTTCTTAAATCGATCAAAAGAAATTCATCGCCACTTTGGCGACAGATTCATAACAAAAAAAATATATCTCTCTCTCAAAAAAAAAAGATGAAAGGGATTGATAAAGATTAGGTATGGCGAACTCCATATTTAAGTTTTGTAACACTGCGCCTTTTTAATTACAAGATATTACCATTTTAAATTTTGTATTCGGGTGATGCAATACTACTGATCGCCACTGACATCGAAATTCTTTACACTCGGATGTATTTAATGCGAGAATGCAGAGAAATGCTTGGTTTAATTATGGTTTTACTTGAAGACATGTCTCAATTCGTTATTCCGTAAGCTAAATAATTTCTTTTTGAAAAGCTACTAAATAGGATGTCTCGTAATCTAACTGTTTGTTTCCTCCTATTCCACATTTTCTCTTGGAATTAGATAATGTATTTCACGACAATAGGGTCAAATTTCACATTAATTCTAATAATGAGTAAGTTTTTTGAGCCTATTTGCAGGGATAGCACATCGAATATTCGGATTGGTGATTATTTAATTGTCAATATATTAAATAAAATGTAATAATTATTCGCCTTGTCTTATCGTTTTCACGTTTGGGATGATACATAGCAAATATTCCAAAACAACTAAAAATTTATTCAATAAAAAAATGACACGTGGTCGTAAATCTTTTTGTCACCATTCGGATTGGGGATGAAACAGAAGAATACATTTTTGGTGATTGATGGAAATCATAGAATGAAAAGAAGGAACAAGTATTATTAAGCAAAATACGATTTGATTTGTTATATATCTAAACCAATAATACCTAACTTTAATACTCACGAGATATAGTAAATCATATGATCCTTCTAAACAGGAGCTGTTTTAAACTTTTATTATTAACTGGTCCGAAGAAGTTATATTAATGGACTTCGTTGTGTTTTCGATGCCTTTTCATTGATAGGTATCTGCACTTCTTCATTAGATAGTTAGATAGTTTAGTTTTTTTCGAAATTTATTATTAATACAATCTGAAAAACAAAGTTACCAAGTCATTTGTATCATTCAATATAAAGTATCCAATATTTGGCTTTAAATCAAATTTTAATAAATAGATGAATTTTTAAGTATGTTAAATGTAGAGAGTTTATTGGTTAATGTAAATAAAAGCTTCGTAACTTTGTAATCATAATTCATAAAACTAGTTAATACCATAATAATTGGGAAACAAGCTGCTTTTCGATCTGGGCATCTAAAAAAAAAACATGAATTAGCATTTATATAAAGTTTATTATTGATATTATGTTATCAAATTTTCGATCAAAAAAATTTAATTTAAGCTACTGTAAATGTTAGATAACCACATATACTTTTGTTTTACTTGGTTGACTGACCACCCCAGTGAATCATGACAAATTGAAGAACTCGTTTTCTTTATGACCTTGAAAAAATATATGATTACAGTAAAGGATCTAATTATTATAAATGTAAAAATTTCAAAAGCTCTTTAATTATTTAATAAAATTTGTCCCCTGATTTCTATTTGAATTAGAGAAGGTGCATTATTACAAAATTCTTTGAATCAAGCATAAATGCAACGATAATCTTTCTTGACGTAGGACAATCATTTGATCTTCGATATAGATTACTATCAAGTAATGGTTCAATAAGTACAGTACCTTGTTGTTTATTAAATGCTCCGAGAACTAATTATAATCTGTTCGCCTTTTGATTTGAATAACATCATGCGTCATTGTATCTAGATCTTTAGTAAAAGAAATTTTATTCATTTTCATGACTTCAATAAATTTTAAATTTTCGTATATAGAAATAACGGTGTTTACAAATTTACTGAAAATTGCATAATTACATCTTTGTAAAAAGATACTACATAATTTTTTGTAAAGGACAAGTAGAAGGTGAAGGGTATTCTCTATTTTCATTTACGTTGCACATAAAACGATTTATATACACGTCGATTCGTCATTTTCTATAAAAAGGGCCCCTTCCCTTTAAAATAAGTATCTTTTATTTAATATCAAAAAAATGTATAATAATATGAGATAAATATGACGTCTAGGTTCAATATAACAATTCATAGGAGGTGAAAGTCATGACTTCAAAATAACTCAAAGAAACTACACACCTCGCTTAGCAAAGACTTATTATTATTCTTCCAGACGAACTTTTACAAAAAAATATTTTGGATAAATTTTTGATTTTCAGTAAATATAGTATTTTTTTTTTTTCTTCAAAACAAGCGAACACAAACCGATACTATTATCAAAAAAAAAAAAAAAAAATAGATAACATACAAAAAGACTTGTTTATTGTCATATCAATCTATATTATCTATATTTAATTATTACAACAATAATTCTTATTGACGAACATTGCATCAAAATGAGTCTAACTGAACAGAGTTCAAACTAGTATATAAAAATTCCGGATTTAACGGATTTTTATTTCAAAATCGGATATTTATCCGGAATCGGAAAATTTGTCCGGATTTTGTTGGCTGGAATTTTTTTAGGTCGGTACTTCTACGACTATAAATTCGAAACTTTACATCAAGCTTCAAGTTATCTCATCCTAAAATTTACTTTTTTCAAATCACATATTATCTTAATGCTCCAAAAAAAAACCTCGAAATTATTAAATACGGACTGACCAATGGATCTAATTAAAAAAAGAATATTGACACAGCAAAAAAGCCCTGCGCAATTCCAGAAATTGTACCGGACCTTTTAACGTGGTCAGACGATGATTTCAAAATGATGGAAAATACTTTTACAACGTTGTACCTTTGATCAGATTTTTAGTAAGTCGTCAGAAGATTTTTCAAAAGGTTCGTCCATATAAAAAGCTTTTGAATAATCTAACTTTTTGAAGATTTATTATCTTTTTATTTGATTTTGATCATGATCCAATGAAAATCGATAATGTTTCCATGATAAATTTCATGATTTTACCGTGCACAGTCATATTCATTTAAGTAAATAGAATAGATGAAGTTCTTGGAGGATGTAATTCTTTAATATGGAAGAAATCTGATCATTTGGGACCTTTGCAATAGAAAGGGGGAAACAGCCGAAAACATCAATTTTACTTTTATATGCTAAATATTTTTTAGGTCAAAATATGTTTATATTTAACATTAACTCATTTTTTATTTTTTCCAGCCGTTTCCCCCTTTTATATTTCAAATGTCAAGTTTTGTTGAAGAAAATGATCAAATTAAAGATATTTTCATATTTCTTTTAAGAATTTAAGCCATAACTATTAATATCCAATACAATTTTTCTATGAATATTTCTTTCAAAATAGGGATTATTTCAGGAGAAGGTGCGTTTGGTAACATTAATATTTCATTAAGAACCCCTTTTGGAGAAATTGTGGAGTTTAGCGTCATAATACTTGTAAGTTAAATATAAAAAAAAAAAATTGAAAGAATCGGAAGAATATTCTTTTATAGAAGATTATGAACTATTACAAATATTGAAAAAATAAGAGTTGTTATTACATTTTCCGAATAAAATTCAAAATTTTCAAATTAAATCAATTTTTAATTATTTTATTGGTCACAATTAAAATAATATTTTATTAAACTTTGTATTTCTTAAGAGAGCAACAATAAAAGGTATTGTACGAACTTCCAGATGGATACTTTGAATTCAATAATTATGGTGTGTAGTTTTCACGAAATCATTTATTTTATCTTCTGTTTCTAGATTTTTATCATTTGAACTAGAGTTCATAGATGAACCACGTGCCCTCGATGCAAATAAATTTCTATGGCATCCACGCCATGTATCTGGCACACAAAAAAAGGATGCGACCGACTGTTTGTCAGGCAAAGATCACATAAAATGTTCTATTGTTACTTTTAGTCTAAACTCGTTTCTAATATATTTTTTTTAAAAAATATTGTATAAAATATTGAAGAGATATCAGAACCATAAGCGTTAAGCTAACTCTCTCTAGTAGGGGACGAATAAGACGACCAGTTTTTCCTATCTATATTTTATTTAACGAGACGAGACTTATTTTATTTTCGAACGATAATTTTTTTATTTTCGTAATTTAATAATGACTACAAATGAGATGAAGGTAAATAGATCTTAAATCAGCAAAATTTATTCAACTTTTAACCTACCTGCCATTCGACTTCTAGTCCTTATTTCATACTTTAAGAAACAGGAAAAACGATCGTATTGTGGTTTCTTAGAGCGCCACCACGATGTTTTCGTTCATCGTCATTTTCGAATGACTGAAGGTTTTTAACAATAATTGGATCAAGCATTTTTTAAAGGGGGCAAAAGGGCAGTTGACGTAAAATGCTTTTAATTCTTTAAAAGACAAGGTGTGTTTCTTTTTTTTTTTTTAAGAGCAGTACTGGGTATCTGCTTAGTATCCATTCCAAGTTAAGGTGCCGTTCGTTGATATTTGTTGGGAATCAATATCACTAATTAAAAGCTTGATGCACTGCTAACAACAATCTTTCTAATAATAGGTGAAAAGCGAGTGTTCAGGAAAATGGGTAGAGCCGTATTGGAAGGGTTTGATCGAGAAAGAGAATTTACCTGTTTCACCTAGTAGGTCTTACTTGTTAATATATGTATGTCACAAGCAAACATTCCTACTTATTAATGACTAACATTATTATTAGGATTAAAGAGGAAAAGACTTGGATCCAAGACTGAAGTTGAAGTCTTAACATCAATCCCTCCACCCATATAATATTCTAACCTTGAGAAGAGTTGGAATACTACAAATTCAAGCATGTACTCCATTTCCAGTCAAATTAGACATCGTTTATTGAAGATCAATCTCATCAACTTGATGAAACGTGCTATCAATATAAGGAACCAATTTTTCACCAATATGAATACATGGATGATATATCTAATGAAGAACATGTGAGGCAGGCTTTATCTGTAAATCTGTTTGAAAATCTTAATTCAATTACGGTTTTACGAGAACCAAGAGAAAGGTTTAAAAGGAGGATCAAATCAAGGGGGAGCCGGACTTCATCTACAAACAATCAGAAAAATTATTTTTAGTAGTAGAAGTGTAAACCGCATGGGTCTTGAGGTTGGATGTTGAAAAATATGAAGATGATATCGAGAGGAAATGTAGCAAAACCCATACCCTGAGAAACTTTCTGTTGTGGATATTTTACGCCAGAGATTTGGGTATTTGGTTGACAATCATTCACAGTATGGGATACTCTCAACGTACAACCAAAACTGGTTCATTAAGAGACCCAATGATGAACCTCGTGCTCTGGAGATTTCCCCAACGATAGATGTACAATCGGAGAAACCTTCAATTCTTAAATGTTATGCCTACATACAACATCTGTCGAGAACAGATACTGGATCGCTAGTCCTGGTCTAACACCACTATCTTCACCATCATACGGTCATAGTTCAAATGATAGTTCGGATAATATATCCTTAGGGTCTACTACAAAGAGACTTTAAAAGTCTCAAAACCAAAACACAACGAAAAGAAAAATTACAGTTTTATTTTTATTTTTTATTCACAATTGTATTGATTCTCATAATAAATAAATGATTACCTTCCTTTCATACTAAAAATTCATAGACATTGGCTTCTGAAAGTATTCATTGTATTCATTGATAGAGATGCACTCCAAATTTTTAAAGAGTTTACAGTTACGCAAACCTATAAGTTAATACAACTGAAAAGAATAGCACCGTTTCTCAAAAGTTCTTTAATTTATTATTTGGAAGAAATCACGTTACAGATCATATGATTTATTATGTTCGATTTCAATAGCAAACCTCCCATATGATACTTTGATGGATTTTTATAATTGGTAATTTTAGAAATTTTTTGGAAAGACATTTTTGTTTCGAATTGAATTTTATTCATTTTTAACAGTGTTAAGCCTAAACACTACGTCGTTAGACTATGAAAGAAATAAACACGAATTTATTTAAGTTGAAGGGTCAGGTCGTCTTTATTAATGATTTATGTTTTAAGGAAATAGATATTGGCAAAGATATAGTTTTTATGTTGTTAAGATTATACTTTATTAATTGTACGATAGAACTTGTAAGTTTGCCAAGGCGGCAATACAGGATATTTATATAAAATACAATTATAAGAAAGAGATAACAAATATAATAAAGAAAATAAATATAATTATGAAAGTAATTATAATAATGATAAATGTAATAATAAATATAACAACGATAACCGTGATAGCAGTGAAATTAGTGAAAATAATGATCACGATTTTCCTAGTGATCATTGGTGGCATTAGCTGGCGCAGTCATTTAGTGACGCAAACGGATTATCACTAACAACAGAAATAAAATGACCTTAAATGTATTGAGATTTATAACAAGAGTATAAAATGAAACTTAAAGGAGATTGTATTATTCAGTACAAGATCGTCATCACACTGTTTCTTGGAATCTAATATTTCGAAAAGAATTAATTTTGAAGTATTCAATAACATATCTGAAATTCGTATTCAAATAAATCAACATAAACGGCCAGTAAATGTTACTTATAGAATAGTTATAGAATAGCGTGTTTCATTGATTCAACAAATTGATTATTTTTTTTTTTTTAACGATGTGTAAGCTTTATTAAATTTAAGTTGAAATTATATAAATATACAGTATAAAAAGTAAAATCAAAAGATATGAGGTGCAGATCCGACAAATTAGGATAAAAATAGTAAGCAAATTCAATTTTTTAAAAAAGCATATTTAACTAGTATGTTTATGTTTCGTACAATTTCTATTAAAAGCTTTACAAAATTAACATAATTATCACTTGTGCATCGCGCAAAATTTGTATTAATTGTACTAGTGCTCCGTAAGGGTAGGGTCGGGTTTAAGGCATATTCGAACTCGAACCCGTTAATAATTACAGAACCCGAATTCGACTCGACCCGATCATTG